TCCGCGGCTCCCTCGGGCTCCCGCAGCCCCATGTTCCCCCCAGGAGCTGACAGAGAGGAGTGGGGACCGAGGTTCAATTGTGCCCCTTCCACCTCTGCCGCAGCCTCGCAGGCGATGCCAGCATCTGGCCGGAAGAGGAAGGCCAACTTCTCCAATGACGAGACTGAGACCCTGGTCTGGAATGTGGTGCGGCATTTCAGCGCCCTGTACGGGTCTGAGGCCCTGCGGGCTCACCCCGTGCGCCGGAAGCAGCTCTGGACCCAGATCCAAAGCCGCGTCAACTTCCTGGGCTACACCGAGCGCTCCATCGACGACCTCAAGCACAAGTGGCGTGACTTGCGGTTGGACGTCAAGAAAAAGATCAAATCCAAGAAGCACCTGCCTATGAACCGCGCTGGCGGGGCGCTCCACCAGCCGAGGCTCCAGCCCGGTCTTCCTCCTTCTTGCAGCCCAGCCACGACTCGGAGCCCGAAATCATCTTGGACCCAGGTCAGTCGTGGTGGTTCTCTGGGGACAGGAGAGTTGGAGTAGCAGAGTCCCGTGCTGCATCCCCACCTGCGCTCTTCGAGTGACGTCCGGCCTGGTAACGTCACCAGGCCACGGTCCCCCGAGCTCCGGGGTCTGCCGAGCGTTTGCTTTCTGTGCTAGCCGGCGCGGCGTGCATCGTGGAAGGAGACTTGTGGGTTTTGCTCTTGTATGCGGTGTGTGTCAGGATGACAGCATCCAGCAGGGCTGTGGTCCTGTAATGTCTGAGTAGCAAACGCCAGGGTTGAAAACTGCGTGCGCTGGAATTAAAAATCCATCGTGGAAATAACCTGGGATCAACAGGAGCACGTCAAACTTTGTGGGAGTGGGTTGCTTTAATTTGATACAGTGCCTGGCCTTGCTGGATACCATCTAAAGGCAGCCGGTAAAAGACGGGATGGGGTTTCATTTCCCCTGTTCTTCTCAGGGTTAGCGTTCCCTATGCTTAGCTCAGGTTAGAGGGAGCGGGAGCAGCTGCTTCGCTGCAAAATCACGCCGTCCTCCTGCAGCGGCTCACGCCCTGGCGCTGCGCGTGGCGGAGGGGCAGGGGGGGCCCCGGGCCGCCCGGGCCCTCTCGGGGGGGG